ACTCCGCGTTCTGCAGCGAAGGGTACTCCCAGCTGTCCAGCTGGTTGATTGGCGATAGGCCGTCGATTTTCGCCGTCTGACTCTAGCCCGTCTAGCGCAGGGAGAGCTAGCGTTGATGAGGTTAGCACTCATGAGAGTCACCCACCACACACAATCACCACTTAATTAGAAAGAGAGGTGTCTAGTCCTTGATCTAGAACATTTTTCATTTTCTTGGTTTTTTCTGCATCCCTCCATCACTGACCACCTCTACCTTGGTTTATACAGGCTGGCTTTCCAACTAAACTCCGTCAAAATGTGACAGTGAGAAAGCAAAGAAAAATCACTCACTCGTAAAAGAACCACTCGCTGTTCTTTGTTCCGTAGGTCCATCACTGCGACTTGTAGAAAGTGGTGTGGTGTTAACCTCCGTTTGATATGCTTCAGTGGACGCATCTGATCCAACATGCGATGATGTCGCTTTAGACGTAAGTGCACTACTAGTTTTATGGTCGGACTGTGTTGCTCTAGGACTGGAGAGGACGTGTTCCAGATGTCCGGTTGACCCAGTAATGCCGTGCTCTTTATTGGACGAGGTTAGAATTTCAGTGGGTACCTCGTCATCACTGTGGTGAGATAACGATGTTCGAACTGCTGTAGTGGAACTGAATATTTGAGTTGTTTGTGTAATTGCAGGATGGTAATATGTTGTGCGCTTCTACTTGCGACAGACGCCGTGCTGTTTGCATTTTTAAAGGAAGTGTACGTTGATGAAAGTGGTGTTGGCTCTGAGAAGAGCAAGGTTGTTACCTCTGAAGCGTTCCAGGGCTCCATCGAATGTGGTGAATGGGATCGATGAGCCTCTGGTAATGTCGTTTGTCCATCAGGTGTTACGGTTATAAGTTCTTTACTAGCTGTAATATCTGTTTGCTTGGACGTCGTGGTAAGTTGCGTGGACTCAGTCGAAAAATTGACTTTCCCGGAACGTGTTGACGAAGAATAGTTTACGGATGAGCATGGTCTCGCAGTAGGAAAAGAAGACGGGCATTTTACCGGATGTAGACCCATATTTCTGCACCATCCGTATTGCTTACAAGGGCATCTTATAGGGACGCATGCCATTGGTGAAGATCGAATGCGATTTTGCGATTTCATTTGATGCTCATAGTTAGAACCGAGTGCGAATCTTGCTATAATCATCAAATGATAATCAAGGAATCCGTTAGGGCAGACATCTGAGGCTTCGTAGTAATTTGATGAACTGATTTCAAAGCACTGGTTTTCGTCGTTTTTCACGGAGTTGTCATCCCATACAGATCCTGAATTTTCTACACATTTTTAGCAAAATGAGGCAATATACTTCTGACGAGTTGACCTACTTCTCCAAGCGCTCTCTTCGAACATCAAAGCCCGGCGGGCCCTGAAGCAACATTTCCAATGATGTAGCATAAACTCGCAATGAAAATACTGGTCATCAGTGGTCCTGAAAATTAAGTGTTTACCCAGAAATTTTACGGATTTTCGATTCACTACGCATGGATTCTGGTGCATTACATTAGCCTTGGCTAGCTAAGAATATTTTGTTTGCAGAACCTATGAACATTTTCTAGATCGTTGTACCAAGTAGGAACGACCAAAAACACGGATATCTCATTTTTATTCTGAAAAAACCTTGTTGTGAGTTGTAATTGATTGTGGGTCAGTAGTAGGAAAACAAATTGAGTGATCAGAGTATTCAAACTGAGAGATTCAAGAGAGGGGTTCGACAGGGCGACACCATCTCGCCCAAACTCTTCAGCGCCGCTCTCGAGAACGTCATGCGTCAACTGGAATGGGAAGACATGGGAGTGAAGGTCGACGGCCGGCAACTACACCACCTTCGTTTTGCTGACGACATCGTTCTTATAACGCCGAACATCGAGCAAGCGGAGCGAATGCTGGCTGATTTCGACTGCGCCTGTGGTAAGGTTGGTCTACAGCTGAACCTAACGAAGACGATGTTTATGAGAAACGGATTGGTTCCTGATGCCCCATTCACGCTCAACGGAACGAACATCACCGAATGCTCCAGCTACGTGTACCTAGGTCGGGAAATCAATATGATGAACGATCTAGCTCCAGAGCTGAGCAGGAGAGAAACGAGCGGAACATCGAGTAGTGAAGAAGACGAAGAACATCCGGCTCCGTGCCCACCTCTTCGATTCCGCTGTCCTTCCTGCCCTAACCTACGCCTCAGAGACTTGGACTCTGCGCAGGCAGGACGAGCATGCGGTCAGCGTTATCCAACGCGCTGTCGAGAGGACGATGCTAGGAGTAACCCTATACACGCAAGTGCAGAGGGGAATCCGGAGTTCGAACTACGCCAACGATCGAAGATCAGGGACGCTGCCGTTTTCGCCAAGGAATCGAAGATAAGGTGGGCCGGACACGTCATGCGATTTTGCGATGACCGTTGGACCAGAGCGGTTACCGACTGGATCCCTCGGGACGTCAAACGAACACCTGGACGACCGCCGGCCCGATGGTCAGACTTCTTCACGAAAGCTCTGAACGAAAGGAATGAAGGACTTCGTGTCCCTCGAGCGAGGAGGATCCACTGGACCACTCTAGCACGCGACAGGGACGAATGGAGACGTTGCTGGCGCCCGCTCGAGCAAATCGACGATCAACG